CCTCACCCAGAGCCTCCCTTTCATATGGTGATTGGGGTGGATGACCGTACAGCCTCTCTCGCGGCAAAACAACGCCCCGCCGGGCAGGCCTATATGGGCCGGGCCCCTACAGCGAGGCTACGCGACCGACAATTTACCAGAGCCACGCCGCCAACACACCCAGAGAAAATTATTTCGGCCGAAAGCCAGGGGCTCTTGTCAACTCCTTGTTGTTCTTCTGCAGAGGGGGGCAGCGGCGGCGCCGGGTACAAGCCGCCCCCACGCACGGCGCGACACCCCATTCCCTCTGCGCGCGTGTGGGGAAAAAAAACATAAAACACCTTTTCCATTTTCTATCCTTGTCGCTCCCCCTTTTACTCCGCTCAGCCTCCGGGTTTTGATTGAACGCGCCTCTCTTTATCCCCCTTCCTCCTTCACCCGCGCCGCGGGCGCGATAGGCGCCGCAAATCCGACGGAGCGCCACCTTGGGCACGCCCCGCCGCGCCCCGCCCAGGACGGACCTGACAGGACACACCCCGCTCACTATCGAAAGGAGGGACGGACCGTTTTTTTTTTTCCCCCCTCATTGTCCGTCTTCTTCCGTCCCTCCCTTCAGGTTGTGCAGCCGCGGCGGCAAAGTATCCCGCACGGGTCAAATCCTGTTTGCCATCGAGGCCCGGTGTAGTCCCCCGCCGTCGCCGCCGTCCTCATCTTCATCCCCCCCCCCCCTTTTGACGTCTCATCATCGAAAGAGGAAACCTGCACGTAGAGGGATTATGAGATGGATGGGCTGGGGGCGTGCGCCGGGCGTGCGCCAGACGTGTGCAAACACACTGGAGAGCGGCGCCACGCCGCCCCCTCACGCGCCGCGGCGGCGTCGGCTGCAGGGCCATGCAGGCGGCCCGACATGCAGCACGACCGCCAGACAAGACCAGCCGAGTCAGCGGCGAGATAGCCTGCGCGCAGTGCGGAGGCCATGGAGGCCCCCCATAGTACCACGACAGCGTATGTGGCGGGGCGGGGCGGGGGCGGCACCGAGACGGCCGAGAGATACGCTTATGACCTCACGTCAGTATGATATAGCACGGAGTTGCTGCCCCACCCTGACACGCCCCCCGTGGGGCTGTGAGAGGAGTATAGAGCGGGGTGGGGGTGGGTGCAGGAGGGGGTGGGCACTTGCTCATCCCCGCTCATATGTGCTCATCAACAGATTTGGGCCCGGGTGGAAGGGCGGGGGAGCGAGCTTATCCGCCACGGCCGCAAGCCGCCAGCTGCTGCGCAGAGGTTTGAACACCCCTCCGCCGCGCCCAGGCCCAGAGCAGCCACCGCCGCCCTCCTATTTTCCTCCCTCACTGAAAATTCCAGGTTACAGCAGGCGGGCCGCGGAATTAGGATGATATGAAGTAAGTTGAGTACTTTGTGGGCGAGCGTGAGGGCCGCGGCCTGGAGGAGGGGGGGGGGGACAGCGACACACGGAGTTTTAACACGGCGCGCGCCCCTCCCGTGTTACG